AATCTGCACGTCAATCATATTTAAAACTCTACTCTCGAAAAACTTGGTGAATCCAGAATTGTATCATTGGACATCTCCAATCAGCGGTAGCACAGAGGGTTCTTCAGCAATTTTCCATCGTATGGACTTCCGAACGAATTTTGCCATTGGCTGAGGAGCTTTTTGGAAGACAAATCATTGCATGTTGTAGTCGATGATGTATCTTCTGATACATTGTCTGTAAATGCCAACGTTCCCTAAAGCCCAATTCTGTCCCCAACACTGTTTCTCATTTTCATAAATGATCTGTAAAATTTGACAAGAAACCCATTATACAGCTTTGCGGACGTTAGTAGCTTGATGGCATCTTTCCCTTCTAACAAACCGTTTACTGAAGCCTGTTCTACACGCCTTGCCCGAGAACAGATTCACTCCATCTTAACACCATTGCCAACTGATGCCTTAACAATCTAGTCAAAATCAATGCTTTCACATGGTGTCAAACCCGCCGACTCACTTGTATAAAGCTATCTCGAAGAAAAGTAGAGGTGATGTGAGCTAGCTTTCTGCTTTCCTGTTGACTTCTCACGACTACAATGTTCCCAAAACTTTAATAAACTGAAAGAAAAACACATCATAGATCAAAGAGAGGTATTGATTTTCTTCGAATCCGTTTCATAATTTTTATATTTTTTCCCCTAATTTGGTCTCCTTCCTTTAATTGACGTTATGCTAATGCTTTTTATTAACAAGCGTGTTTTTGTCACGATCATGATCAAAAACTAGCCCTGTGAGAATTTTCTCTGTATACAAACAGTGGAGTAATTATTCAAAAGCATAAATTCCATCCATCAAAAATAAAACTCCTCACTTTATTACGCACGCTTTTGTTGTGCCACAATTAACGCGGTAATTAACTACTGTTTATAAAATAGAGAGAGTGAATATAGACCGCACATTGCGTGAGCTCTAAAGGCTGTAAAAATGATTCGTTGGTTTACATTTTGTATAAATAATAGTTAGGAGATAGATAATTATTTAAGAAGTGCATCGACTTTGTTTATTTTAGCTTTTACGCGGGAATATGATCCTGGTTGTTCCTTAATATTTGGTCTAGTTTTGTCAGGAGTCCATTAACCTATTTATATGATTTTAAACCGTATGTATTTACTTAAAGGTGATTTACCGACTATTATTAGGTTTGTAACGATGGGCTCGGGAAAGACGAATGTTGATTTTTCCGATTTCTTTCAATAATATTCGCGTTGTTTGTTGTTATTTCAAAAACGAAAAGTCAAAACAGATATGTACATCAATAAATAATGTTACTGAAATAACGGGTGAAAATATACTAGGGCCTAAATAAACGAGCCATTAAAAATTGATGAAATCGGATATGAGGTGTGAAAAATCATAATACCCATAATGGGTCTTTCGGATATTCAATGCCTAATTGAATAATTAACACTCTGTTGTTCGGCTTCAATTACATTATCTCCATCAAGTAGATTAAAATCGTCAAAAAATCTTTTTGTAACAAATAATAATTGATTACCTTTTATCCTATTTCGGAAAATCAGTATTTCTTGACGTATTTTCCACCAAGCTTTCTGCAGCAAACTGCTCTTACAGCTGAGGAATCCACTTATTTAAGTCGATTATTTCTCGACTGCTTGCGGTTGATATTATCAAATTTGAAATGTAGCAATATCTTTTGCTCGATCTGAGTTTTAGAGATTTTTATATAAAGAACATCTAAAACTAAATGTCTCATTTTGGAAAATTATCATAATAATTTTCAAATAGCATCAGGCAGATGCTATTCTAAAATATAAACGTGCTTTTCGTTATTTAGTTCAACATTTTCTGTTTGAAATTTGACTCGAATTTTGGTATCTAAAATATGTAGTAGTTATGGATGTATTCTGTTTCAAATTTATATGAAAGGTCTGGTATGGGTTAAAAAACTCATTTCGGTATCATATTGGTAATTATATTTAAAAAAATATGCTTCAATTGATTTTTAATTTAGAATTTTATACTCGGATTATCTGATAGTCGTTATCACTAATTTGTGACAATCCCCTTTAATAAATTATTATCCAATATCCGAAATTAATTGATTTTAATTGCCATTAATTATCGAGAAAGAATGTCTTTGAAACCAAAAAAAATCCACTTATTAAACCAATTAATCACGTACCCGGCCAATAACGTCGATGACACTCGAAAACTCGCGTCGGGAAAAAAAAATCATCAATAAAAAAGCTGATGGTCACACTTAAAAGAAATTACACGCCGCCACACCCCCATCGCCCCAGACGAATAACGCCAGATTAATTTATCCACATTTTTGCATTTAAAACTTCCGGGATTGATTTATGATACTTCACGAGGGTAAAATGATTGATTGACGCCATCATGAAAAACCAATCGTTTACAATGTAATCTGTTGTCAACGATCCGTGACGATGGCGAGACATACGGGGCAACGGGTTGATAATATTGAAGGGCGCCGATGATGAGACTGGTCAGAGGACACTTGAGGGGTTGTAAATTTGAAAATTTGATTTTTTTTTACTGGACATAGCTACGATCTTGTTTCACGTAAATGATTTCGCTACTGTGTATTTTTTTTAGTTCCTTAGGGTTTGTTTCAAACAGGACATCTTAGTTAGGATCTGATATTTCGGACAAGATGTTCTTGCATTCACTTGAATGGTCAAACTTATTACAGCAAGCTGGGCGGTAGACGAATACACTGACTCGTATTTGTACTTGTATATCCAATTATTTATGGTTACTTTTTTCCAATGTTACGTTTTTTTTTAATATTGGTCCGCTCACAAAAGGCCAAGTCTATACTACCTAAGCGCTAAGTGACGCCACCAACAAGAAGCCCTTTATTTATAGAGGTCCTTGGGGCAGCCAACTTCATCACATACGGATGGGATGCCTGTGAGGTTCTTGCGATTCTTTCAATGATTTTGAGTGATACTTCGCTCCCATTAGTTTTCGATCTTTCTTTTTAAAATTTCGAAATAATGTATTTGTATAGGATTCCTGTTAATTTACAGAAGGCAGCATATTTTCAAGGATGATACCTACAGGATTTCTTATCGGCCTCGTTTTTGGTAATCGCTGCCATATTGGTGTGTCACCATTTCCGAAGTCATAACTAAGTCGTCAGCCTACGTCAAGGCGAGAAATAACACGCCTACATCACAACTGGTGATTTGGCGAAGAGGGGATTTGTTACACACAGACCTTATGAGGATAGGCCATCGTGTAGTAGTAGACAGTAGTGTGTATCATCCTTGGCATATTTTTTTGTGGGCTTGTCATATCGTAGGTATGTCAATATTGTCAATGATGTTTTCATGTCAACTGTCAACATTGTCACTTTCAAACTTAAAGTCAAGCAAACCCAGCGTAGTCGGCTGACCCAGCGTTCATGCTTTTAGGTATAAACATGCTGCTGTAACAAATCTAAGAAACAAAGAAAAGAAACTAACACAACACAACATGGTAGAAAAGACATTAGGAGTGCTAAAAATTTCAAAAAAGAGTGGGAAAAATTTAGTAGATTTTCCACTAGTCCAAAAATGTTTCGCCTGCAGCGCCATTTTTTTTCTCCTAGTGGATTTTAGTGGATTTAAATCTTTTTTCTAGTGGACAGTCTTGGTTCAGAGTTGGCAACACTGACGAAACAAAAAAACATAGTTTTAGAGAAGCGATCGAAGATACATGGTCTTGGCAAAACAAGTTGGTCGATGCGGTCACCCTAAGAAGATACTCAGGGAGAATGCTATTGCTTGAGTTTTGGAAGCATTGAATTTGACACGGTTGTTGAGGGCCTCAGTTGGCAATGATGTCAGTGAATCTGTTATCGGGTGTGGCCTATGGAAGTGTCTGCAGTACCAAGCGATTTGTCAGAAGAGAAAGATGCCATCAAGCTACATCAAAGCTACAAACAAATCATTTATAAAAATAAGAAACAGTGTTGGAACAAAATTGAACCTTGGAGAATGCCGGAATTTACAAGCAGTGTATCAGATGACCTGCCTCCTAAAAGGCTAACAGCTAATAGCAAAATTCGTTCGGAAGACTATACGATGGAAGATTGTTGAGGAGACCTTTGTGCCACACCTGATTAAAAGCCTTGAAGATGTCCAGTTCTGCAGTTCTGGAGTCGCCATGTTTTTCGAGAGTCGAGTTCCAGATGTCTGACATATGCCAGCAGATCTCCTGTTGATCTTTTAGAACGAAACCCGTACTGTTTGTCAGAGAGAGCTTATTGGTTTCGCGGTACTCAACCAGTTTCAGGTTGACTGCGTTTACCATTACTTTCGAAGGTACGGATATAAGTGAGATGGGACGATAATTGCTAGGAAGAGTTTTCTTGCCCTTTTTCGAGATGGACTGCAATCTGGCACATTCCCAAATAGACGGGAAAAAACCTCGACTGTAAACGAGTGAAAACAGTTTGCGAAAAACTGAAGCCAATTCTTGTGTGCAAGGACAACGTTGTCTATGTGAGAAACCAGTACCTGTTGTAGTGTCTAGGTTTTGTAATAATCTTTGGGTATGGTTTGTGGTTAAACTCCGATTCTATAATTGGAGGATATCAGCTGACAGAAGACATGTATCTTTATCTTTGGTATAATAATAGGTCTGTTCCAACATGTTAAAAATCGTCCCGGTGGTTTGGAAACCATTCTGTATACGAATTTCGGATTCTACGCACAAATTTTAGGCTTTGCGTAGAATGGTAACGGTACTGGGTCTCCTGCTGTGTTGGAACAAAGCTAATATATAAAACAAGATTCCTTGGAAAACGGTGTTATATTTTAATCAACACCTCAGTAAGCCTAAAGTAGCTCAAACATCATATTGGCGACGAGTCAACGAATACCCACAAGAGCGTTATTGCGATCGGCAAACAAACACAGAAAAACATTGAACGGTGGCAGCAGAGAACATCTTTAACATCAATATTGATCATTTAACCATTCATATAGGCCCCAGTGGGCAGAAATGGGCTAAACCATTTGATAATTTCCTGGTCGCAGCTGGTATTACAGGTCGAAAAGAAGCTATGTTACTCCATTGTGTAGGTGAGGAAACATTTGATATTTACTGTTCATTACCCGAACCTCCTCTCACTGAACGTGTCCCTCCTAAGGACGATATTGCGAAATTGAAGCTAAACAATCATATTGTACCAAAAATAAACATAGAGTTTGAGATTTTTAACTTCAGGCAGGCTGAAACAGAATAAATCAGAGAGTAGAGAGTATTGAAGAGTATCATGCTCGTTCACTGAAATTAAGCACAAACTGTGGTTTCCCAGATAAGAACAGGGAAATTAAGTCACAAATAATCCAGTGTACTACATCTGTTAGGTTGAGAAAGTATGTCCTTGCTGAAAACCTTCACTAGAGCAACTCTCAGCTCAAGCAAAAGCCTACGAGTTAACTGCAACTCAAGCCCAACAAATGGAAATGTCGGAACAACCTGAACTTGTTTCTAGAATAAAGAAAAAACCTCAATTTGAACAAACAAGATTTGGCCGTACTCATAACAACACGAACTCTCGACCTAACACAAACAACAGAACATGTAGAAATTGTGGTAACCAGTGGCGCATAGGAGATAAACAAGACTCTCTAGCCGTCAACATCGCCTGTCATTTTTGTAGAAAATCAGGGCACTTTCAGAAGGTATACATAGCCAAACAGAAATTCCAACAACAAAGTCAAGGTAACAACAGAACATGCAAACACATACAATCCTTCACAAGTAGAGCCATCCACATTACGCAATAGTCAACAAGACAATAACAATCGCAGGAATTATAACAATAACCAAAACAACAACAGAAACAACAACCGAGAGTATGTTAATTTCAATGCCCCTGAAAGAGACACTGATGAGAGTAGTTCAAATCACTCATTCTGCATAACAGTTAATAACATTAGAGATGTATCTGTAGTTAATATCAATATCGATAATCGATCTGTAGAATGTATTATAGATACTGGAGTATCAGTCAACTTGATTAGCAAAGCAACATTTTTAACTCTACCAATCAAACATGACTTAACTAAAGATGCAACCAACATATTTTCGTACTGTGGAAAACAGAAACTAGAAGTTCTTGGAAAATTTACAACACAATAATTGTCCCACAAAAATAACACAACAGAAGCAGTAATTCTTGTTGTAAATAGATAATATCAATCACTTCTAAGTTTCAACACCTCCTTGCAACTCAAATTAATACACATAACAAACAGTGTTTCTACAAAAATTAACTAAGATTATGTCAAGAACAAATACCCAGAGATATGCACAGGTGTAGGAAATTTTTCAAACTTTGAAGTTCATCTACACATAGAAAAAAATATTAAACCAATAGCGCAAGAACACTGGCGAATTCCATATCACCTCAAGGAAAAAGTAGAAGCAGAAATTAATCGTTTGGAACAAGAAGACATCATTTAAAAAGTAGAAGGCCCCACGACATGGTTATCTCCAATTTTCATCATACCAAAACGCAAAAAAGACTTGATTCGAATTTCTGTTGACATGAGGTTAACTAACAGAACAATAAGTACGTTAAATACACCTAACACCTACTATCAGTGACTTGATTACCCAGCTCAATGGTGCAACACAATCTAGCCTAACTGGATACCATCAGCTGACTATAAACAAAGATAGCAGATATATAGCAACATTTTCAACGCATTTGGGTCTCTACAAATATAAACGTTTAAGTTTTGGCATAAATGCTGCTGCGGAAATATTCCAAATTCCAATAAGACAGATTTTAATACATATTCCTGGAGTTTTGAATTATAGTGACGATATTTTAGTATTTGGTAACACTGTAGAAGATCACAACCAGTCTCTAGAAGTTGTATTACAGAAATTGAAAGAATTTAACCTTACAATTAACAGATCAACATGTGTATTTAGCGTAACGAAGATAAAATTCTTTGATACATATTTTCACGAGATGGAGTCCAACCAGATCCGGATAGAATAAAAAGTATTGTAGATTTGAAACCACCAGAGAGCCCAACAGAAGTACGAAGTCTTTTGGGTATGATGAACTATATGGCAAAGTTTTTACCGAACCTAGCTAATAACACCAAAATCCTAAGAGATTTAACATTAAAAAATTCAGAACATGATGAAACATTCAAATTTAAAAAAAAAAACAACATTATCCTATTATAATGTCAATAAACCAACAAATTTGATAGTAGATGCTGGACCTGAAAGGTGTAGGCTCGTTTCTCACCCAAAAAAGCGATACAGTCAAATAGAAAAAGAAACAGTAGCATGAATGTACGTGGTCCATACAACATATCCATATCTACCTTTATGGAACAACATTTACTTTACATGTCTTTTTTCGTCTTGTCAGAATCTTAAAAAACAACAGATCTTTTCCCAGTGCTCGAATAGAGAGACAACTATTAAGAATTCAGCCCTATCAGTTTAAAGTCGTTCATCAAGATGGCAAATCCAACCTATCTGATTATTTGTCAAGACATCACATACTTAATTCAGCTCTAGAAGATACCAAAATAGAAACATATGTAAATTTTATGCTACAGTTCTCATTACCCAAAGCTATGACAATTAAACAAGTGCAACAAGCTACTAAACATGATTAAGTACTCAGTTTTCTCATTGACACAATAAAAATAACAGAAACAACTAGAAAAATTCTGGGTTATCACCGTTCTGCAAACTTACTGTGACAGATAACATCATAGTACGAGGTACTCAAAAAATTTTACCAGCATCCTTACTAACTCCTGCAATACAACCAGCACATAAAGGTCATTTAAGGATTGTCAAGACGAAACAGTTACTTTCCTCAAAAATATGGTTCCCAAATATTGACAGGCTAACAGAAACATTTGTAAAAAGTTGTGCAGCATGTCAGGCAGTTACAAACGTTAATAATATCAACAGCATTACCTGATCAACCGTTCCAGCAACTTGACATAGATTTCGCTGGACTTTTCCCCAACAAGAAATATGTCTTCATATTAGTAGATGAATATTCAAGGTACCCGATAGCAGAAATTGTTCCAGCTACAAGCTTCTACAATCTGAAACCAATAGGCACTTGAGAAAACATTTTCCACATTTGGAATTCCGAAGTCTATAAAGTCAAAAAATGGTCCACCTCTTTGTGGTCGTGAATTTAAAATATTTTCACCTGATCTTGGTATAAAACACATAAAAATCACTCCATACTGGCCAGAGGCAAACGGTATGGCAGAGAGGTTTGTGAAGTCCTTCAAAAAATCTCTAATTTATGCACAGTTAGAATTCAGCAAGTTTTATTCTCAAATCAATCAATTTTTGTTAAACTATAGAAGTACTCCGCATTCCACCACAGAGAAATTCTCATTTGAACTGGTTTTCAGCAGATACATCAATAATTTATTACCAAGGTACACACAGCAAGAAAGACATAGAGAACAACATGAAGACATAGCAAAAACTGGTAAGAAAAACAAAAGGTATATACAGATCAACAGAGACATACAACATACAAGAATACACAACTTTCAGATCATTGATCTAGTTCTATGTAAACAGTTGAAGACAAACTGCCTAACTCCGTTTTTTGACCCAAAACGGTACAAAATAACTCAAATTAATGGAACTCAAATTCTGGCAGAGAGAGAAGGAAAATATATCAAAACAAATGAATCGTTTTTCAAAATATTCAATCCTAGTATTCCTAGTCAAGTCCTCGAACATCTCCCAAACAAAATGCGTTTACTCCTCCTATCATTCCAATCATCCCAACGAAAACAGTATTCTGGAAGATTAGTCCTAAAGAGGAGTAAGCTATTATACTTGAAGTAAGTTCGCTAACACCACCTACCAGTGAAGATCCAGATATGCATGAACCTTGAGAAGTCCTCTCAGATGACGATATCTCGTTCAGCTCAGCACCTGAAGCACCTACAACAGATACAGACAGCCTTTCAGTTAGTAACTGAATATGATAACTTCAAACAGGACATTTTGAGCAATACCTGACATTCAAGAATTTCAAGCCGTTGAGCCCTCAAATGTTGGTGACAACATAGGTCCCTCAAGAGTTTCGAGAAGACCAACCTATTTGAATGACTATGAGACCAATTTTGAATAATTGAATGATGTAAACAAGATTCCTTACAAAACAGTGTTATATTTGAACCAACACCTCAGTAAGCCTGAAGTAGCTCAAACATCACACCTGTGGCACTCTGCCATTGTCCTCGATCGTGAAATTGGATGCCAACTGTCTAACAAAGAGATCTGCTTTTTCCTTTGACGATATAGCAATGTACTTATTGTTCTTAACCAAAAGTGTAAAGGAGGAAGATTTCAATTTTTTTCCGATGGTCTTGGCATAGGACCGAAAGGATCTTGATCCGCTCGAGTTTGTTTGCATTGGTTTCCACCCTAGGCACTGCTTATTAACGCAGAGTTTTCCGGCATGGGATGTTGTATTGGAGTGAATGTACAATTCCATACGTAAGGAAACTATTGCGGTAACCTCTCGTGCAGTCTTGGAGGTATCTTTGCATTCAAAACAAACATCGGACCACGCAAATCTCGAGAAGAAGAGTTCTAGACCTTCCCAGTCTGCAGCTCCACGCCATACCGTACGGAGCAGGAGCTGTGCGTATAACAAACGACCTTCGAGCGGAAATCAGTTTGTGGTCTGATTTGCTTAAAGGTGCAAACACATCGGATCTGGATTAGTGTTAAGAAACAAATCGAGTAGGCCTTGGCTCATTTATGGCTAAAGGTGCTCTTTGATATTATGATTTCTCAATTATTGCCTATTGGATAACCTCTGGGGTGCGTTCGAAATCACCCTGAGCGTCACACCGAGTGCACACCGGCAATGAATTATTCATGGCTGGTTTACACTCGGTGTGACGCCCAGGGTAATTTCGAACGCACTCCTGCTCTCGGCACACAATTGTTAATCCTTCTCGAAATATTTGTGTTTTTTGATTTGGCAAACCGATTTCAAACGTCAGATCCATCATCTCGTCCATGTTCTTGGCTTGCTTGTCGAAGGTCTCTTGCATTGGCAGCGTGGTTCTTTTCTCTTCTGACAGCTGACATCCTAAGACAATGTCGTTCAAATAACAATAGCTGCTTACGATCAAACCACTTTCTGACCTAATTTGCAGAAAAAAACT